TTTATGTAAGGCAATTCTAGCAAAAAATAGGTACTTAAAACAAATTTAATCTAAACATTTTCAGTTGTTTCATCAGGCATCTACAGTAGTTTTAATTTATTTTATTGCATGCATGTAGCAATTCCAGAAACAGTACATTTCAGCAGTATTGCCAGTATCAGCCATTTAACAGAAGGTAGTTAAATACTTCAAAATAAAATCCTTTAAAATGAAATTAAGATGAAATATGAAACATTCTGTCTCTGGAACTAGCCTAATTTCTGAGAATGGGACTATTGGAATATATTTTCAAGCTTTGCATAGATGTTTCAAATGAAACAGAGATGATATCATCAAATGGTACCAGAAAAGCACCAGAAGTTATACCACAAAGGTATGATTTGTTGGAAGAAAGCATGCCAAATGTACCTTTTTGTAATGGCATGGGACCAAGTCCTCAAGATAAAAGTTCTCTCGAGTAGCGCCACAAGTTGGAGTATGTGATACTTGTTTCTCTTGACATGAGGCTGCTGTGGAGTGGGTGTCAGGGGAAACTGAATCAAGGCAAGCATGCAAAACCCTTCTGTTCTGGGGCAGACAATTATGATGCCAGGTTGTTTTTTTTTGTTTGTTTGTTTTGGTTGTTGTTTTTTTTTTTTTTTTTGTTGTTGTTGTTGTTCTTGTTTTTTGATAGCTTGGTAATAAGCTGTGGTCAGACAAATCCAACCCAGCATTTGAAGAAGAGTGGCTATTTCTTAAAGCAGGAAAGGTATCCATAACTGTTGGAAATGAAAGATGGTAAACCTGAGTGCAAGCTGTAAAAAGATCTCTGACAAAACAACAAAAATAAGGTATCTCTTCAATTGCAAATGCATAATCAATTATAGAATACATTGGGAGATTATTTTATGTATGAATACCTGGATTTCATTTCAAGTAGCCCAGGGATGCTGAGCTGCTTTTGATTATCAGTTAGAATTGTTTGGTAGCTGGGATGTATCTAATGCAGTTTTCTTGAGAGCAATGTGGTTTGCATAACTAACTTGCCCCTTTTGGTATTTCTTGATAGTGAAAACAGATTTTTTCCATTTTCACTTATCCTTAATCATGTCTTCAGAATTTTGCTTTTAAATCGAGTGGTGCACTAAAAAAAGTCAACGAGAGGAAAAAAGCCTCTTGCTGGTCTGCAGTGCCATCTCAAAGGCTCACAAAGTCATTAAGTTCAATTAGGCTCAAATATTTATTAAGCACTGATGAATTGAGTGTATTCAGTGATGGAGAAATTGTTTGTGGGTAATGTGCTGTAGTAAAAACATGAGGCATGCATGGTTGAATAAACCTGCACAGAGATTTTTTTCATGTGGAATGTTTTTTTTCTAAATAGAAATTTTATCTACTTACCATGCCACTTTTCCACTATCCTTATACATAGGAATCAAAATTTATTTTAAAGACTACCCTTTTAAAGTGATAAATTGTCTGGGAATATTATGCCTCCTGAAACGTTCTAAAGTTTCACTTATCAACTTTAATACTTGTATTCATTAAATGTGACAAGTGATATGATGTGTTTTACATGTGACAATCTTGTGCACTGCATCTTTAGTGTTCTGGTATAGTAGTCCATGATAACAAACCAAACAAGAATGATACAATCAAGGTGAATGAAAAGACTTATCAGCCAGTGGTGGTCTGGAGTTGCTCATTGCTATGTAACATTTTCTAGATGTATGCTGAGGCTTCATTTTCATTTCAGGATTCAGAGGGAGGAACTCCAATGATATTTTTGTGTGTAGGGGGAGGGAAGGGTTGTCAATTCCAGAATAGTATCTCCAGATTCAACATAGGGCACAGTGACTTCTTTCTAATGACAAATGTCAAAATTAGGGCCAGCATTCGCTAAAACCCATGAAGCAGTGCTCAAGGGAAATTAATTTCTGTGATTGTCTCCAAACCTCAAAGAAATTATCTTTGCAAACTAATGAAGATAAAATTAAGAATTGAAGTCTGTGGCATCCCTTCAAAGTTTAAATGTAAATGGAAGTGTTGGAAATGAGTCAAGTATTTGCCAATGAGATTTAAAATGGTGCATGGAATAACCACTGTAGAAAGCAGTTTTGTCCCTCTGAAACTGAGGAGCAAAAGGAGAACAAATAGTGTTTGTGAGTGCCCTGATTGCTGTGTGTGCAGTATGTTAATGACATCTGAATTTCCATCTCTTAGACATTAAGAACGTAACAGAGTAATTTCATCCCTGCTAGTAAAGTGATGAGCTCGAAAATTAGAGCATCCATGCATGAGATCCTGAAGTGCTAGCTGTTAAAATCTTCTCTGAGTAACTTCTATGTTTGTCAGTGGCCCATGTTGTTCAGCATTATAACAACTGAGAAGAGATTGCAGGTATTCAGGTTTAATAAGGGTGCTGTAATACAAGCACTATCTTCGGATGGAAGAAATGCATGCAGACCCTTAGGTGTTCTCTCTCCGGTTAAATGCTTTGTGTGGTCTGTTTGTGACAGCAGGCTAGCTGTCTGCACTCATATCTCCCAAATGCATGTAATCTGGTAACTATTTTAGCACAAGGACAGGCATAGTATTAGCATGAGGCAATTGTAAGCAAGCCAGACTAGAAGTACTTGGCAGTGTTGTCACTGAGGGGTCTTCATAATAATAATTTTAAAAAAAGCTGGTTCCAGATTCTCAGGAGACTCAGTGCAGGTTCTTGTGTGGTGCTTTTCATCCTGTTGAGCATGGTTCCTGAGTGCTTTCTAATTAACTGTATTAACTCTCCTAGTGCTCTAAGCTAGTGACATGAGGACGTCAGAATGATACCAGACCAGATAAGGTAATTGCTAAAGGAAAATAAGGGAGTGGGGAATTTTGTGGCCCTTGAAAACAAAGAGTTTTCAAAAAGTGTTTCATTACAGAATGGGAATGTTTTTTATTAAGTTTTGTATGAACGTTATTCTATTTGACCAACTTTACCTGAGATATAGCAAGAATATGTCTTGTAACTTAACATTGATGATGCTCAGAATAGGCTTTTGATGTTTTTATAGGAAGCAAATTCAGAAAATGCAGAAACTGCATGACTGCTAGTAGTGGGCATAGAGATTTGTGCATGGAAACTTTTGTATCTGGGACAGAATTGTACAAATCAACAGTTACTGAGGAGATTGCTGAATCTACCTAGTCTAGGCAAATATTTCGTGGTTCCTGGTGTCATACGTAGGATTGAATTACATAACCACATGGAGGAAAAGGAATTTTTGTTAGTTTGTCAGTGTTTTAAGTTCAGTCAAACAGGTCAGTGCAGAAGCTATTGCCTTTTACAAGTAAGGGCAGCAATTATATTTAGAAGGTAGACATTGAACTTTGAAGATTTTTGTCCACCATCTCCAGTTTTGGAGTGAAGAACCTATTAGGAGACTCCTCAAAACTTAGGATTTCTTCTTGCATTAGAAGCTACCTCACTTTTGGAGCTGCTGATTGCCTAGAGCTATATACGACCAGATTCCATTCTCTTTCATATTTACCAAAGTGAATCTCATATAGGAGATTTTCTCTGTTTCAGGTATGTTTGTTATCTATTTCCCAATTCCTTCTTGTGAACAGCTGATGATAAGGCACTCATCTCTTTCAGCATTTCTCAAAAGAGTTCATTTCTAATGTACCTCTCAACTGAAAGGCATCCACTTTGTAGCAAATGTCCGTTAGCTGTGATCCACAAGTTGGTCATTGTTCTGAGTTACAGACCTTATATAGTTACTTTAAGGCTGATCTACAGGATATTACATTGCATTGATCTTCAAAGAGAACTCGAGTGAAGAAAGAACCACAACTTTTATTAAAGAGAAGGATATAAATCTACTTTTTAAGTTGAAAACACAAAATAAGTAGCATTGAAGTTGCTGATATTATGAAAGTGTGCTTCAGAAGATAGTAATAGTCTTTCATTTAAAAGAAAGAAAAAAAAAAGAAAAAGAACTGCAGTCTTTTTTTTTTTAAGAGACTGTATTAGTGTTCCTAAAATCACACCCTTAGGACAAGAAAAATGTGAGAACTAAGATCTCTAAAGCTGAAACCACACTTTTTATTTTTTTCTTTTTTTCTTTTTTTTTTTTTTTTTCCATCAAGAATGTTATTTCCCTTAGAAATATGGGCTTAATATCATCAGTGCCCAACAGCCGCTATTAAAAAACTTCTCACTGAGGGCAGCTGCTGAACAAGTAGCACCCCATAACTAAATACAAATAAGCTTGTCTGATGAGCATCTGTGAACAATGGTTGGCAGGCAAAATTCATGACAGGTGGACTAGTGAATATAAGGACATGGCTAAGATCTGAAAAGACCTACGCTTGAGGTCAAGTTGAGTAGTAGCTTGCACGGAGGCATACAGAACATTTATCAAGATATCAAGTGTTTTCAAATATTGCCTGTAATTATACAGACTATTTCATATATTTGATAATAATTGCATACATTACTTCTGATATGCTGGCCAATTTGCTTATACAAATATATCATTTACATCTGGTTTTTCTTTGGGTATATGTAAATATCATTGTTAATTTTCACTGGAAGCAGTAAGTGCACGTTGTATTATGCACTTGGGTGTACTCATCTATGGACTGGTCAAGGCTGTCCCAAATTATACTCAGCTATTACAATCAGGGGAAGTTTAGGTTGGATGTCAGGAAAAACTTCTTTACAGAAAGGGCTGTTAAGCACTGGAATAGGCTCCCCAGGGAGGTGGTTGAGTCGCCATCCCTGGATGTGTTTAAAAACCATTTGTATGTGGTGCTCAGGGACATCATTTAGTGAAGGGTTGTTAGAGTTAGGGTAGTGTGGTTAGGTTGGACTCAATGATCTTGAGGTCTTTTTCGACCCAGCAATTCTATCATTCTATGGACCTGGGAAAGATATATTTTGGTTATGAATTAAACTACTGGAAAAAAATGCTAAGGTTTTTTGAACCATAAAGTTTCAATTTCTTTTTTTTCTTTTTTTTTTTTTTCAGTTCTTGTGTATTCCAGTAGGAGCCTATCAGAGGACTGCATTGATTTGAAGCAAACTCTTCATTAACAAGGTATCAGCAATATTCTGATTTTACGTGACTGATGGAGCACTTCAGGGATATAGCTGTGGCTTGGCATAAAAATATACGACCTTGACTTGTTCTGAGCCACAGTTAACTGGTCAATAGGAAATCATTACGCAATGTAATCCTGTATAGTCACAGGGACATTATGTTCACAAACAAAAAGAAGTGAAAGCTGAAGAGTAAAATGATTTTTCACTATTAGAATGTTCAAGTAAACTCTGTGTTTCCATTCCATTCTGAATGCTCTTCCTTGGCAAGTTGTACATAAATTTATATGATCAGCCAGTCTTTCAAGTGGTCAATGGTGCCAATGCAATGATGCATCAGATATGTTAGTAATGTGATTGTGGCAAGTTCAGTGAAGGGCTTTTTACCTTTGTGGTGTAACTTTTTGATCATCTCAAAGGAGTTTGCTTCAATTTTGCAAGAAGAGTAACTTGTGTTAAGAATTGGAGCCCTTAACAGCTGTTTTTTGCATAACGTAAATAATGTGAATTTTGGAGTACTGGATTAAGATTTCATTTCTGTTTTCTGTGTAAAATGGCTGGCACTGAAATATTTTAAAGCTACTTGAAAAAAGTATTTTAAAAACTCAATTTTGAGATACAAATCACGTGTACAGTTTTGAAATGGAGTATATTGAATTTGTTCAGTATGCCTCTCGGAATGACAGAATTATATATCGTGATAGACATAAGTGATCTGAAATAAGTGAAGTTCCTAATACCATGCCATCTTTTATTGCTGAATTATATTTAAATTTGCTGTACTCAAAAGTTATGGCAAATAGAAATATACAAGTATAAAATATGCAAGACAATGTACTTTTTTAAATAATTCCCTCCACTTGTATGCTTCTCTTCAGATGGCATCAGTGATTCTGATTTTTAACTTCCTTTTCAAACTACTATATCAGTCAAACAAAAATAGAAATGAAATTTTTTCCATATGCTGATTGTCACCACCTTCAGAATTTTGTTGTGTATTTTGACCTTAGCTGGACTGTTAGATGGCATTTTGGAATTTGTTCCATAAATGTGTCTGTAGGCTTTTGCAGCTATTTCAAATGTTGCTTCTCACTGCCTTCTACAGAAGCATTAGGTCTAGGCTTTTTCTTAGCAGAGATTGGCTCAAGAGATTATCGTGAATTAAACCATTCCATGAAATTTAACTGCTGTCACCTGAACAGGAAAAATCAAGTGTTGTCCCTGGTCCAGAAGACGTGCTAACGCTTAGCTGCACAAGTATTATAATCTTAGAGTTTATAATTTTATCCAGAGATTTTCCTAAAACATTTGGAAAGTTTTAGTTTCTTTTCTGCAGTATTATGCTACATATCATTTTCTTCTGAATGAAAATATCAAGTGCATTCTAAGAAGCAATTCATGGCCCTGAATCACAGTCTTTCAGATGTTTGACATTGGCATGCTGTGTATAGGTTTTTATTATGTTTGTATGCAGGTATCCCTCTGTTTATATATTTTATATGCATGCAGTTGCAGGGTGGAGGCACATAGCTATAGCCATACAGTTACCTACACTCAATATTGCATTGAGTTGTTAAACTAGTTCCATTATAAACTAGTTCCACTTATACATTTTAAGGAGTCCATGTTCAAAAAATGAAATGGAATCTTGTTCCTGATAGTTCATGGAATCACCCAGTAGAATTTGTTTATATTCCCACATGTTGTGGTGTTTGTGATCTGTGCAGAGGAATGCATAATTTTTCCTGGCTTCAAAAAGTCATGCAGTGCAAGAAGTTGGGCATGTGCAGGTTGTTTATTTAAAAACACTTGTCCAAACTTCTTGCTTTGCCTTTGATTCTAGAATCTTAACAAAGAATTTGGTCAGATGTTAAATACGTGCATATTTAGCCTCAAAAAAAAAAAAAAAAAAAAAAATCAAAAAAACAAAAACAAACAAACAAAACAAAACAGAAACCCCTCACACATAACAGGAAGAGAGCTCTATGATTTAAATGTGTTGCACTTCCATGCTTTTTCCTTTTAGGCTTCTCTGACTGGTAGGGTACAGTGGCATGCTTCCATTTATCACATAGACCAAACTGCTTCCAAAATGTTACAGAGCCAAGGCCCATGTCTCTATTGTCAGAATTTACTGACTTCAGTGCAGAAATACAGTGTCTTCTATGTTTTCTTCCAGATGAGAGAGCTTGAAATTTCTGAAATTCCTTTAGAATCTGTAAAGATATACATATATTCAAGCAGGAAGGTGTGGTTCTAGGAAAGAAAAGTAAGCCATACCTGCACTAGTAAGCTGTGCTTAAGTAAAATGCTAGAACTGTGCTGTTCTTAGCAGAAAAGATAATTTTTAATCCTATAGTTTGCTTTAGCAACCTGTTAGGTAGGAGTTAAGCCAGCTTGGGGTTTCTGAACAATAGGCAATAGTATGTTACATACCCTTTAAAAGTTGTGTACACTAAAATCAATTTATTGCATGTCTAAGTTCTTCAGGTAACTGAATCCCAATCTAAGAATTGTGATAATTTTCTGTACCTATATAGGTTGTGTCCCTAGGCATTCTGCAAGAAATGAGACAGCAGGCTTTGGTATCTTTGTGTATGCCTCTTGTTTATTAAGAAATTGCTTGTGAATTCCCTCTTCAAGGACTGTACTGCATCTCTCTAAATAATACTGAAAGCTTTGGCATATTTGTCTGTTCTTGTTGGCTGTTTTGTTCTGAATTTGTTGGTTTTTAGCAAAATACTTTCAGTAACAATTTTGCCTTTAGGCAAAAATGTACTACTAAGACTCTCAATAGTATTTGGTACAGTTTTCCTTTATTTCCTTGAGTAGGTTAAATACTTTGTTCTAAATCTGGTCATAATTGTCAGCAGAGAATACCTATGGACATGTAAATAGTCTACTGTGTACCTGCTGTTATGTTTTTTGGATCATTTGTTAGGCTATGGTGTGTGCCAAATACTTAATAGCATTAAAATAAATGATTAAGTTTTTAAGTCATAACATTTTTATTGCTCTGAGGGGAAATCTGTGACGCTCTTCTGAATTCAGAGGTGCATCAAGCTTTTTAAGATTAATTGCTACCAGTTTGCAATTGATGCAAACAGGTTTCAATATGAACATAATTTAATCTTTGCCATCAGACACAACCAGTAATGCAGTATCAAATGGTACCAGCGTCTTGGATTGTTATTCTTTTTTTGAAATTGACAGGTAATTTGAAAGATCCTTCCCCCATGTCATAAAATGCTACAACTTCTAATACTCTAATGCCTGAATCCTCTGACGACTGCTGAAGATGCGGGTTTGATATGGTATCATCAGGATTCTTTCGCCTAAGCAAGTGTATTAAGTATATTGGGAGTCAAAGATATAAGTTCTCATTTAGTACAATTAAAAATAAATAAAAAGAGAAGCAAAGGATAAATAATCTTGTGGTTCATACTGGGAATTTCTGTGTGACCAGTCAGGCATGTAGGGAAATTGGACTTTATAGGTTCCTGCCTAACAAGGCTGCCCCTTTATAACTACATACCAGACAAGGCGGCTTTGGATGCTTTTACTATATAAAGATACATTCACATCAAAGAGTTTGACATTTTTGTAAACTGAATTACTGTTTATTCTTAGAAAAGAAACAACATATTGTGGCTAGATATGGAAAAAATATTTGGAGTAGAACTTCTTGGAATGAATTAAAGAAAAGAAAAAGCTTGTACAAAATGCTTGACGAAGCAGAAAGTATAAAAATATTCCTGAACTCGCGCTGATACAAAAATGCAGGGTTAAAGCTGCTTTTCTAGTTCCTATGTTTGCCAAAAACATGTTTAGAGTTCTTTTAAGGTAAATGAACTGGACTCAGCTAACTGTAAGAAAAAATGTCTGCTTCCTTATATATAAGTCTGCTGAACAGAAGTTTTTCTAGACCAAAATCAGGCAGATTCCTACAGTGTGTGATTACACTTAGCTTGGAAATAATCCCATCCTTGTACAGAGAAGCATATGCTTGTATGCCACAGAAAGCATATAATTTATAAGCATATATTAAGGACTTTGAATCAGAGTCGTGATGTTTTTAAATTAGAAAGGTATAAGTGGAAATCTGTTGCAGTTCTAGTGTTAAACAATCTTATAACTTCAGGCAGATGAATCTGAAAACTCCGTTGTTTCATGGTATGCACTGCATCTGTCTGTTCAACACACTGCATTAAGTGCCATGACAGGAAATGCCTCAATTCAGTTATTAATAGAAAATATCAGAAGGCAGTAGTTTATCTTCACTTTGCAGATTGTCTCATGTTAGAACACTTGTGCCATATGGAAATATTTTTATTTTTTCACTTTAAGTCTTTTTAATCTGGCTGGAACTGATAAATAATCAGTTTCTTCGCTGCCAGTTCTCATTACCACTTGGCTCTCCCTTGGCCTCCTTTTCATGCGTACACATGGCATGTGCTGTGCCAAACAGCCAAACAGTCAGCAGAGGAGCAGCACGATTCCTGATGGAGTGTGCCTAAATTCCAGGCAGTGGTCTGTTAAGCAAATGTAGCGTTTGCACTGTGGTGTTACTGTGATGTTGTAGCATAACACAGCACCAAAACACAGAATTGGTACAAGGCCTCAAAGCTATGATATCACGTTTGTGAGCCTGTGGAAATCAAAGGTTATTTGGGGATCTTTGCTTCCTCCAGGTAAGGCTTGTATGTGCAGCAGCCTCATCTGTCTAAGGAAACAAAACTCTTTTCAGGCTCTTTTCTGTTATCCAGCTCTTAAGTACCCTCTTTGCCTATCTGTCCAGTTAGGGGTAGGTGGATTTTCAGTGAAGATGTCTTTAATCATAGCACTAAGGTTAACTGAGGCTCCTTTGAGGGACGTGATCTACATAGGTGCTGCACTGCCTCAACCATACTCACTGTGGGCAAGGCAGCAGCAGAATCCTGCTGTGTGCCTTGTGGCCTTGCCCTGCATTGGTTAGTTTCTTGGTTTTTTTTAATGAGA